TAGAATTGTTTTGTACAGCACTGGGGCCTTGGGGAACAGGATAAGATTTGGGGTATTCAGGAAGGTGTGTATAAGGAGAATTAAAGTAGAGGGATGCTGGGGTTCAGAATTGCTAGAAATATTTAGTCCTCTTTGCTACTGTTACTGTTCCAATGTCTTTCCCTTAGGAGCCCTTTCTCTTTTCTGAGATATGACTGAATATTTCTTTTTTTTCCCTTTCCTAGACTCTGGATTTGGGATGCAGAAGTTACAGCTCTTGGGGCCTGTCATGGCCACTCCAAATGGAACTCTGGTCCACCCAGGCTATTTCTTACTGGTGGGCATCCCTGGCCTGGGACCTAACATACACTTTTGGTTGGCTTTCCCACTGTGTTTTATGTATGCCTTGGCCACTCTGGGCAACCTGGCCATTGTCCTCATCATTCACGTAGAGAGGCATCTGCATGAGCCCATGTACTTCTTCCTGGCTATGCTCTCCACCATTGACCTGGTCCTCTCCTCTGTTACTATGCCCAGGATGGCCAGCCTTTTCCTGATGGGGATCCAGGAGATTGAGTTCAATGCTTGTCTGGCTCAGATGTTCCTTATCCATGCTCTGTCAGCCATGGAGTCAGCTGTCCTGCTGGCTATGGCCTTTGACCGCTTTGTGGCCATATGCCACCCATTGCACCATGCTTCTGTGCTCACCAGGCCTGTTGTAGTCAAGATTGGACTAGCTGCCCTGAGCAGGGGATTTATATTCTTCTTCCCATTGCCCTTCATCCTGAAGCGGTTGTCATACTGCCGAACACATACTGTCACACACTCCTTCTGTCTGCACCAAGATATTATGAAGCTGTCCTGTACCGACACCACAGTCAATGTAGTTTATGGACTCTTTATCATCCTCTCAGTCATGGGTGTGGACTCCCTCTTCATTGGATTCTCCTACATCCTTATCCTGCAGGCTGTGTTGGAGCTTTCCTCTCGAGGGGCAGCACTTAAGGCTTTCAATACCTGCGTCTCCCATCTCTGTGCTGTCCTGGTCTTTTATGTGCCCCTCATTGGGCTCTCGGTTGTACACAGACTGGGTGGTCCCACCTCCCTGCTTCATGTGGTCATGGCTAATGTCTATCTACTGCTACCACCTGTAGTCAACCCCATTGTCTATGGAGCCAAGACCAAGGAGATCAGTTCAAGGGTCATTCATATGTTCTCAGGAGGTGACAGGTGAGAAGGATACCCACCCCAGTGTCCTCAATTTTACCAAAGAGGAGAGGATGAGCGTCTGTCCAATGTCATGGTGATTGGAACATCCAACCTATTGGGCTGTCTGCTTTCTGTTGTCTAAATAAATCTTTTATTTCTGTCCCCAGGAATGATTCAGTACAGAATTTATGACCTTGTCTACACAGGCCATCCTGGAGAATGACTGCTATAATCCCTCTCTTAGGATGGCCTTGTCTTCTTCCTCCTTCCTAACTAGAAAATATACACAGTTTTGACATAAGAAGGCTATAAATGCCACATCTTATGATTCACTGATGTATGATTTTTAATTATGCTTGCTCCCATGTGTCTCTGAATCTGTGTTGGCTATAAACTTTATTGCTTATGCCCCAAAGTGGTTACATAGTTGTAAATAAAGGCTAATGAAGGTGTTTGGTGTAATAATTGGAGGGAGCCTGTAACAGGGGAGGATGTAGTCGACATGAAGTGTTTACATTTCTTTATGCATGTGAGTATGTTTTTGTGTAATCTGCCAATGTCTATCACTGTAACTATGTGAGGAGTAATGGTTGTGGATGTAAGTGGTATATTTATATGGGTATATGTGTGTGTATGTGCATGAGACAGAGAGAATGAATGAATGAATGAGAGTGGAACATGTGCCAGCTGTGTCCAGGTGAGTGTGGTACCTGTACTGTGGTACATATATGTTTTATAAGTTCTGTTTCTGATTATACCTTTACTCTGTTTTCATGATATCTGAGTTAGTATGTGATAGGCCTCTATGGGAGAATATTTCTATGTGCATCTGTTTGTTGGGCAGTGTTTTTATGTGTATCTGGTGAGAATGCGCCCTGTGATTTAGAAATCTAAATCTTTCCTTTTAGATTAGATGCATGTAGAATGTGGTGCACACATGTGTGGACTGTGTAATATTGGGAGGGTTTCACCTTTCAGCATGTGTGATGTTTATGTTTGGGTATATGTCTATCGTGAAAACTATTTTTGATATCAAATTTTTCGTGTGCTGCTACATAGGCCTTTAGACAGATGTGGGTGGAATGTAATGTCTGAAGTATGTGGCTATGTGTGATTTGTTTGTGATGATTGTATCTTTGGGTTTGTGTCTCATGCTTATGTTTTAGGGCCCTTTCCTTTGTGTAACAGGTATGTTTTGTGGCACAAGACTGAGTATAAGTTTTGTATTCATGAGCATTGCTTGATGTATGATGTCTGTATGGGTGGAGGCAGGGGATTAAATAAGTCTAATCATAAGAAGCAAGAATAATTTTCAATGTTGAGTGATAAACCTCCAAGAAACCTAAATTCTTGGTCTGGGCTCAACCAGAGGTTATTCTGCTGTGATAGATTTTACATGATGGTGGTCTGTTTATTCTTTATCATAGAACTTACATATCCATGTGACAGTTGTCTGTCTCTCCTGAGGGTGGAGCCCATGCCTTATGCTTGTTTTCAGAGCCTGGATCCAAAGTGTTGGATGTTCAGCTGGGGCTGCTCAGCAAGTAAAAGGCAGAATGGGTTCTGGTTCACTTTAAATAAACAGATTCACTCTTGTTTCCCTATCAACCCTCATTTCTTGTTCCTCTCTCTCTAAATTATTTTCCTTAATTTGACCTGTGTTACATGAGGTCTAAACAGTACTTTCCCCAGCTATTAATAATCAGCTAAGATCTATAAATAACATTATATTTTAGATCATGTTTCTACTCCCATTTTAGTTAAGCAAACCAAAGCTCTAAGAAGTTAAGTGACTACTTAAGGTTGAAGAGCTGAAACCAGGACAGTGACTCAATGCCAATTTTTTTCTTCACTTGAACCTCAGATCTGAACATTTTGTTAATATGTACTAAAAGGTACAAAAGCTTTGATTGGTGGGGCTACCTGAGGACCATGCCCTCATGGTGTACCCCATTTCCCTATGATATCTCTACCTAGCTTGGCTCAGGAAAGAATCTTTTGAGACTTTATTTATTGAAAGGATGGCACTTAGCCTCCCACAGCCATCTTTCTTAGGGCAGATAATTCTTCAAGTAATACTCATAATTTTTTTTGTTCTGATCTTAAGAGGCAAAGGGGATCTACATCTTCTCCCTACAACCTTACCCCTTCCAAGCCCATCAGTTAGAGTACATAATAGTGCATTTAGTCTTGGAAAAATATTTCTGACAAGTTTTAGAGACCAAATGAGAGACCTGTGTTCTATAGAGGCTCTGGTTTATTACATTCATCTCAGAGCACAGAATTAAGGTTACCTCAAAATTTAAGGTTACCTCTAATCTTTCAAAGTGATTCTTTCCCTAGCTTTAGAAAGCCTGCTTACAGGCATATACTGATCAGTACTTGGCTGAATTCTTGAGGAAGATCTACTTATATCTAGTATTCCCTCTCTGTGTGTGTCTCTCATCTCTAATACTTTACCTTCAAAATATAACTAGGTTAGTCTTCCTGAATCTTTAATTTATCACCTCAACTCAGGGAGCCCTCTAGCTTCTGCCTGGATTCATTTTGCCTTTGCTGCAGCACAGAAACTTTTTCCAGGCAGCAAGCTGGCAAACTATGGATCACATTTGTTTACCTTGTCTTATTTCTCACTGTCCTTCACTGACTGATGCCTAGTATCTTGAAAATTATTTTATATAGGTAATCTACTGTTTCATTTCTTCAGGTTGATATTACTTCCTATTATTCCATCTTGGATGGAAACAGAAGTCCTTAGGGCACTTTGAAAAAGCCTTTTTATCTTCTAAGCTTATGGGAGGATCAACGGAGACAACAGAGATGTCTAAGGCGGTGGCAGAAAGTGTCAGGCTGCAAGATCCACAGGGAGCAGGAGCTCTTGTAATCAGTAATTTTGATGTGGTTTGAGTTAGAATGGCCTTGTTTGACACTGTCTTTTTTATTGAGTTAGCATGCCTTATGTTGTGAACTCATAACTATGATACCGGTGAGTTAAACCAAGTAAAAACCATGATGCTTTCTTTATTGCAGACATAATTTTAACTTATTTCAAAATTTAAGGTATTCAGTTTCACATTCAAATGGTTCTCTGTCTAAAAATTCTCTTACTATTTTTGCCTTTAAGAGAGACACCAGATGGCGTTGGTCTTATATGGCTGGTGTTGGGGGTAGGGAAGGTTAAAGAGAAAACGTCCTTCTTCCTCAGCCAGAAATTTAGTAAACTAAGGCGGGGGAATGGGAGTCCTTGGGTACCCCTGTAATGAGCTGGCCAGACACAAGAGCCAAGCTTTGGAGACAAAGAAGCCCTAGGACTTTGGGAAGGGAGGTTAGGTCCATTAGGTTCAGCGTCCATCAAAGGAAAGGCAGGGGAGAGAGAAAGCTTCAGGATGGGAGAAAGCTGACATTTAATCATGAGGTCCCTTTAAAAATTTACGTTGTCGTTCCTCTGACTGAGTGTGATAAGATTATGAAGAAATTTGGAAAAAGGTCATCAGAAAGACTACGGAAAAAATGGGTTTCATTAGCTTTTTCTTACTCTAACTTTTCATTGTGAACTAACATATATGCCAGCTCTCAAAGGCCCATTTGAGAACTCTAGAGACCCACATTATCCACTGCTCCTCCTTTCCCATACTACTAGGTAGAATGTGGACACTAAGAAGAAAATCTTTATAGAATGTGGACACTGAGAAGAAAATCCAAAATCACAGTTGGCTTGTGAGGGGTATCTGCTGATGAACTCTGGACAAAATCCTGCATGCCCAGAAGGGAGGAGCAGGAAGGAGGAGGGCAGACTGAGAATAAATAACCCCTGCCAGTGAGACCTCAAAGAGGAAGTGGAGACAGAGAGGGCTGGGCTTTAGCACAGCCTGCTAGACTTCTTTTGGAAGAGTGCTGGGAAGAACACACTCCTGCAGGACAACTGAGGTGAGTGCAGGAGACCAGGGGGTATATCAGAGCATGTAGGTTCCTCTAGCTAGGGATCTTCCAGCAGGATTGCTGAGAGAATGAGAAACCAGGCTGTGAAGAATCAGTGTACAGGGTGGGGCTGGGGGATGTGGAGGAAGCCTTCCATCCAAAGGATGACAGTTTTAGTAACTTCTATGTTTGTGTGTGAAGGGGAGCATTGGGTGTTCCATGTTGCCTAAGGATAGTTTTCAAGCAATTTTTCAATGACCAGTGTACAGGAACAGCCATCTAAAGCCTGGCAGGGGCATGCACAAATATGAAAGAGACAGAGAACACAATTTGTTGGGGTTAGATTTGGGTTGGATTGGGGTTGGATTGGTTTAAATGTGTAGACAGGGCCAACCCTGGTGTTGTTAGTGTGGCTGAAGCTCAGTCTATGATTGAAGATCAGGCTTTGGGTAGGGTTATCTTGCCGCCTCTGAGCAGGGTAGATAGATGCCCATCCTATACTTTGCATCAGGAGTTAGGCTGTAGTTGAGATTGGGATTTAGTGACCTGCTGGGGCTTCAAGCCTCTTTAGTATAAGCCTAGTATCAGGGTTCAGTCTTCAGCCTATTTTTTTTTTGTCTTTCCTGGTACTGGGGATGAACTCGGGACCTTGTGCTTGACAGGCAGGCCCCGGAACCACCGAACTAAATCCCCGGCCCTCTTCAGCCTATTTAAAAGTGGCTTAAGGTCTACCCTGCAGTCACCTCTGGCTTTGTACTCTTTTTCCCAGCCATCTAAAGTACTTGCAGCTTTCCAAACAAGGTCTCTTCTCTTTCGCTTTGGGTCTTTGCCTTTGCCGGAGGGCACTTTCAAAAATAAATTAGATCAAGTCCATTGCTTAAATTCCTCCATTCATTCAGAATTAAGCCAAAGCTCTTTGCCATGCCTCACAGACCCCTGTCATCTGACCTAGTCCTTGCCTTCCTCTGCCCTAATCTTAAAGTCTTCAGTGTTCGGGCCACCTTGACCTTTCTATTCCATGAACTACCAGACTCAGTCTTGCTGAAAGACATTTTCCTTGTGTGGTCTCCCGGAATGCCTGGGATGCTCTTTCCTCAAATCTTAGAGGGGCTGGCATTTTCTCATCACACAGCTCTCAGCTCACATGTAACCTCCTCAGAGGCTTTCTTTGGCCCTCACCTCAACTCCACCTTTACCTGAAATTTTCTTGCCCATTTCTTTTTTTGTTGTTGCCTTCTTAGTATGTGAGTTGCAAGAGAGCAGTGATCTTTCCTATTTTGTCCAGTGTTTGATCTCCAGTTTTCATACTCAATTTGTGTTTTGCTATCTGTGTGCTGCTGTCTCTACACTCACCTAACTCCCTGGTTAACTGAAACTGGTTCTAAAAGCATGACTCAGTATCATCTTTTTAGGGAAGCCCTCTGAACCTAAAACTTTTGTAAGCTATTGCTGTCTTTGCTTCTGAGATCTTGGTGCTTGCCTTGTCCTAGTACTTACCCCGATGTGCTGTGATGGTTGAGTGTTTGTCTCAATTTCTCCCACAGAGGGGTGGACCTGTATCTTTGTTTACTCTCTTCTTCAGTAACTTCAACACTTAGTGTACAGAGTGGCACAGAGGAGCCAGCCAGTCAATAATTGTTGAAAAAAAATCAATGTATTGATCAAAGTTCCATGTCAGTCACTTCCCTTTTCTTGCATTTATCAACAGGCGGGCACACACCACACTAGCTCTGGACACTGACATATAAGTAGGCCAAGCTTTGCAAGCCCCTAGAACACTTAACTGGTCCCACTTAAGAAGGGGTGGTGATGGTGGGGACCTGAACCCTAGATGTCTACATAAAGTGGTATAAGGGGACCAGTCTGACTTGAGTGAATAAGGTAGGGTGAGAGCTTCACAGTCATTTTCAGGTTAGAAATTGTACTCTCATCTTTCCATTATTAGCTTAGCAATAAAAAAAGATTGGCCAATATTCTGCAAAGGTTCATCTGCATCATCAGATTCAAGCAAGGTATGGGACACAGTGGATGAAGATAATTTGGGTGATTCTTGGGAATACTACCCTCGTGAAGTCTAAGGACAATTTCTTCCTCTCCAAGAATCAGGTGTCTGTCAAGCTCCTTCAGTCTTTTACAGCCACAGCATTGTCCTTGAGGTCAGTCTTGCCTCTTTGGGTCTGGCAGCAAGAGCCAGAGGCTCCCAAGTCTGTCTGAGATTACCTTCAAGAGTATTCTCCTTCAAATATCCCCACAGAGGCTGAAGCAGCACCACAGGTCTTCAGCCCATTACTCTGAGCATGGAACATAATGAGTGTTTAGCTAGATGATGACAGAAATCACAAATGCCCTCCTTTTCCTTCTTTTATCCTTTTCACACTGCACCTAAGTGGGGAGAGCCAGTCAGGTGTCCTGAGCTATAGAATGTTCCTTTCACTCATGAGCCCTTTATTTTGGATATCTTGGAAATTAACATGAACCTTGTCCTTATAAAGTATTTTACTCATCTTATAAAGACTGGGAGAGAGGCAAGTTAGTAGCCTGGAATACTGGAAAATCAAGCATTTGGCATTTAGGGCTCTAACTAAACATCGATGTCTTTATCTACCAAATGGGATGAATACTATTTGACAGATTGATGAGAGACTTTAATTAGAAGGAGGTAGAGGACAAAGCATTTTCATCACCACTGAGGGGCCTGCCAGTATCACAGCTAGGGGAGTTGGGGCTGGAAGAGAAGGAGGGTGCCTCAAGTTCTCATCCAGGAAAGCTCTCTTTACTGTCCTCTTAATTACCCTTCTAAGATTGTTCCTGGGCCAGGTGTCTTACTTACCAAGCACCTGCTCTACCTTGCCGCTGGGTGGTTTTTGTTAGATTCCAGAAAGTACAGTACAGCACAACTAAATCCCAGAATAAGGGAAAGCATGCAGGTCTTGGGGTTGTCTAGGTGAAGTTTCTACTTTACGAATCAATTGTTGAACACTGGGAATGTTATTTAACTTCTTGGAGCCTCAGCTTTTTCCTCTAACGCAGAGGAGACATACAGATCTCCTATCATGCATAATTGTTGCTGGGTTACAGATAATATTTTGGCAGTTGGTACAGTGGCATTTTATAGGCACTCAGTGATCTGTTAATACCATAGAAACAACAAAATAAGTGTTGGGGGTGACTGGCGGGACACAAGAAAGGCTGAAGAGCCCTGGCCCTCTTCTCCATCAGCTTTTCCGTGGGTCTGTGAGAAAGAAGGAATTGAGAGCCGGGGAAGAACGTGGAAATGAGCAGGTAAGGAGCGCAGAGCTGGCACTAGAGGGCAGACTACCGAAGGCCAGAGGGAAAGAAGAGGACTGAGGCCCTCAGGATGAATTTCCACTCTGTATAGTTGGTAGGGCCTGCTCCCCACTTTCCCCAAAAGCCAAGATGTTCTTCATAATTCTCCAGGGAACATTCCAGGGACATGCTAAGACACTTTGGCTTTTTAGAGAAAATGTTAAACACAAAGCTGTTCCTTGGGGATTAGGACAGTGTGTGGGCTCTCTCAAAAAAATAGAAAAAAATATACTTTCTTAGTTTATTTTTCATTAATTGTGTTTTGTTTTTGAAATAGAATGATCTAGTTCCAACTTTCTCCCGAGTGCTAAACCGTCTCTTGAGTATATGTGAATAGTTCTAATTACTAGCAGATGTTGAGGCTGGAAGGCCACCTGGGAGTCATCTCTTCTCTCTCCTGTCTACTGGGGAGACTGTGGTGGTCTGGGGTGCCTCAGGGTTGACAGTCTGAAGAATGATATTTGCGCCTTCTGTCTGGCTTCCTGCCCGTGCCTTCATTCCTTTTCTGCTGACATTTTATCTCTAGCCATAGCTGCCCAAGCACCTCCCAGGCAGGCCAGCTGGCTTCCCCTTTTTGATTTCTGGCATCTTTTATATCAGTACCCAGCCTTGCCATTGTGAAGATTTATTGCTATAGGTACGTGTGTATGTGTGTGTGCGTGTGTGTGTGTGTGTGTGTGCGTGCACGAGTGAGTAGAACAGGTGTGTATAGGAATTAAGTGATTGAGGTGATTGCGAGAAATAAATTTTTGGAAGCTTCATACATTTTCATAGACCTTGTTCCCCGCTTTTATGGAAAATGCACTGTGATTATTTTTACAATGCCTTTTGACGTTCTTTATCTCATATAATTTCACCGCAGTGCTAAGAGGTTGTTATTCTTCCCTGCATTATTTAAGCCATGATTTGCACTCCTAGCCCCAGGATTCTGCTCACCACATCAGTCTACGCTCAGAGGCAGTAAAGCTGCACATGGTAACCCATGACCCCTTCCCAGTATGTGTGTTTCCCAACACAGCATACTTTTGATCGCGGGGAAGCCTGCACTAGCAGGTATGTTCATGTGAAATTGCTAGATGGCAAGGGCATCTGGCCCTCGGAAGCATCAGAGCCTTCTTGCTGATGTCTCCAGGTTAGGGACCCCAGGTCTCCCTTCTTTTCAGCCCAACTGTGCTGTACAACCTCTGCATTTCTGCTGCAGTTGCCCTCTTTTCTATATACCCTCTCAGGCCCTCTGGCTTCCTGGGTGAAAAAAGGCTCTTCTCTTTGACCCTGAAAATTCTTGTTCTGAACTTAAGATTACCCTGAACTGACCTTGAAAATATTCTTTCCTCCCTCTCAAAAGTCTCTTAAGTTCAGGCATCTGGCAGTGCTACCTACCTCTTGGCTGTGTTATCCTCATTAGATACTCATGGAGGGATTCTTCTATTGATAAAGTTTATTTTCATCTTCAGCAAACACCAATTTAACATGAATTAATGAATATAATAGGATCTTTGGCATTAAGGAGTTCATGATTCAGCAGAAATAAATATAATGATAATTACACTTATTACTATTAGGGTAAATATATAAAATGAGACCTAAGTAAAATACTTTGGGAGCACAGAGCAGGAAACATTTAATTATACCCAAGGGAAAGCTTAGGAAAGTAGTATAGGATAGAGAAAGTAAGCCAGGATATGAAAAATGAGTGTGGGGGGAAGTAAAGGAGGGAGATCCGGTATGACAGAGGGATGAGAAATAAACAAGACAAAAAGACACAGTTATGGATATCAGTGCTACATTTATGAGGCAGCATGTATTCCAGTGTGGCTGGGGCACAGGGCCATGGTGAGGAAGGTGAGGAGAGACCTAGGGTCATAGCACATTCAGAAAGGATAGTCATGTTAGCCGTGTTCTCAGAATTGTAATCTTCATTCTAGAATCCATTTAGTTTTCAAGAGTATTTTTAAAAACAATAGGCAGTGGTCTGACTTTATCCGGTTAGGTTGCTGGATTTGTGCTGAAGGAAAAGTTTTTAGTAGAGGCCTAACCTGATAGAATCCTGGTCTAGCTTATGTAACTGGTGACTACCATAAAAAGAAAAAAATAAAATCTGGAGGAAAACAGTCAATAACAACAAGAATTATTTTTCATACTTAGTATATGTGAGAAGTTGTGTTAAAAGTTTTGCCCTCATTATCTCATTTAATCCTTACATTGGCCCTATCAGGCCGGGAGTATTAGCATTTTAAAGATGAAGAAACTCAGGCTTAGCAAGTTAAATGATTTGCCCTGTATTGCACAGCTAAGGATTGGGATTTGAATTCAGGATTAATTTCAAGGCTCATTCTCCTATTAGCTACACAATGATTATGATGTACTTTACAGACAGCCAGGTGGACCTTTTTAGTAAGACGTTAGAATTATGAATCTGAATCACAAAGAGAGTTCAAGACTCACTAAACAGACCAGGAACTAGAGTACAGCTGTGTGCCTCTGGTGTACGTGTGTAAATACATTTGAAAACTGCAATGTACCTAATCTGATTAGGTGTACATGAATATTTCCTCACAGAAGCAAGAAAGGATGGGGCAGAAGGGAGTCAGCTAACTCTCTTAACAGAAGGATGCAATCTGAGATAGCCTGAGTCTGATATCCCACTTGAGCAATCTCCATTTTATAGCTAGATTCAGTTCAGATTCAGCCTGAACCCTGCTATAGCCTGAACCCACCATCTCCGGCTTTGAATTCTAATTGAGTCAGTTCTGATCTCAGGATGAGTGGGGCTCCTAGAAGCAGAGCATGAGAGAGACTCTCATTCAGATGACATAAAAGTGGCCTCCTGTTAACTTGGGGGACTATGTTCCATGTCTCCTAGTGGGTACTTGAAATGGAACCCTATATATACTATGCCTTTTCCTATACATACATAGCTATGATACACTTTCTCTTTTTCACCCAAAGGAAACCTTTAGGACTCCTCTTTGGCATATCCAAATTACCAGCATCATTCCACTTAGAGGCAAGGAGGCTGGCTTTGTGTATCCTTAGGTCGGGCAGTCCTTGGCATCTAGCAAGGACAGTTCTCTCAAGGAGAGCTGTGAGCCCTTAACACTGAACACCCACTGCAGGTGGGAGACAGGTGCTCTGGGTCTGGATGAGATATCAATGGCATCCACTCTGGTTATCATTTTCAATTTTCTGATGTAACCTGAATACTATGGACAAGTGTAAAACTTTGATTAGACATTTGGGCAAGGTTGAAATAGAGAATTAGAATTCAGGATTAAATTCCTGTCGGGATTTTATTGGAATTAGGTTTATCATAATAAAGTTGTTATTATTTTGGGGTTAAGATTTAAGTGGCCATTAGATATTGGGTTAATGTTAAAGTTATGGTTAAGGTTAGAAGTGGGGAGATCAACAGATTAGTGATGAGGTTAGGTTTCAGTGTTAATCTGTGTTAGTGCTAGTATTACTATATTTATATTGGAATTCATTTTAAGATGGTGAAATGATATGATTAGAATTTACTATCAGTATTAAGTACAGGGGAGCTAAAGATACAATAGGAAAAAGGAAGTGATTTTATATCTATTTATTATCTATCTATCTATCTATCTATCTATCTTAAATCAATGTATATTTGGTAAGTAGCCTTTCTTTGAGAAATAACTTAAAATATAATTACAATTTTGTCTTAGTATTTCACTTGTTAACAAGACTGACTGTGCAGGTGGGGTTCTGGGGTTAGTGAATAAGAGTGGGTGAATTTGTATTTGGTGCTTGTGTTAGTGTTAGACTGAGTTTAGATAGGAGCAGAATTTGGATGGGCAATGGAGTTAGAGTTTGGGGAAGAGAATAGAACATCGGGATGAGGGAGTTTGGGATTCTTGAGGACCTGACAATGGCTTATCTTTGCATTCCAGCTGCTACGTGCCTGGCACTGGCCTCAGCCCAGCTCCTTCACTATGGTGGTCCCCACTGGCAATGAATCCAGTGCTACATATTTCATCTTAATAGGCCTCCCAGGGTTGGAAGAGGCTCAGTTCTGGCTGGCCTTTCCATTATGCTCACTCTACCTTATTGCCGTGCTAGGTAACTTGATGATCATCTACATTGTGCGGACTGAACACAGCTTACATGAGCCCATGTATATCTTTCTTTGCATGCTTTCTGGCCTGGACATCCTCATCTCCACTTCGTCCATGCCCAAAATGCTGGCCATCTTCTGGTTCAATTCCACTACCATCCAGTTTGATGCTTGTTTGGTACAGATGTTTGCCATCCATTCCTTATCTGGCATGGAGTCCACAGTGCTGTTGGCCATGGCCTTTGATCGCTATGTGGCCATCTGCCATCCACTACACCACGCCACTGTGCTTACATTGCCTCGTGTTGCCAAGATTGGCATGGCTGCTGTGATACGGGGTGCTGCACTGATGGCTCCCCTGCCTGTCTTCATCAAACAGCTACCCTTCTGCAGCTCCAATGTCCTTTCCCATTCCTACTGCCTACATCAAGATGTCATGAAGCTGGCCTGTGCTGACATCCACGTCAATGTCATTTATGGCCTCATTGTCATCATCTCTGCCATTGGCCTGGATTCCCTTCTCATCTCCTTTTCATATCTGCTTATCCTTAAGACTGTGTTGGGTTTGACACGTGAAGCCCAGGCAAAGGCATTTGGCACTTGTGTTTCCCATGTCTGTGCTGTTTTCATATTCTATGTGCCTTTCATCGGATTGTCTATGGTGCATCGTTTTAGCAAGCGGCGTGACTCTCTCCTGCCTGTCATCATGGCCAACATCTACCTGCTGGTTCCTCCTGTGCTAAACCCCATTGTCTATGGAGTAAAGACAAAGCAGATCCGACAGCGCATCCTTCGTCTTTTCCATGTGACTACACATACGACAGATTCCTACTGAACAACTTTCTTTTCACTCAAAGTCCTCCAATTCAGATTTTTCACATCAATGTTTTGGAAGACAGTATTAAAAAAACAAATCTCCCTTAACAGAATACAACTCAGATCCTTCAAAGATGAAACTGGTTGGGAATTCTCTATGTGGAAGGGGATGGGAGGACCATACAATCCCAATATCCATTTTTTCCATATTATATTCCCCTTAGTTTTTTCTTCCTATGATTATTAAAATTCTGGCATAGTGGTGGCTGGAAGATTTTCATTTTAACATTCAGTCCAGATTGAAGTTGCTTTCTCTGGTGGTCCACAGGGCTCTGAGAAAAGGATAGTGCATCTGAAGGACGTTTGCCAAAGGCCTAAGCATGACAAAAGGAAAATAAATACAAGAATCCAATAAAATTAGGTCATCTGGTTTAAGACTCCAACTTTCTCTTCAGAAGTCCTAATATTTCTGGATCTCATGAAAGAAGATATGCCTGGCTTTTTTTCTTCAAGACAACCTCCACAGAGAAGAAATAATTGCTTTTTCTTGGGGCACTGGGCTCCAAAGAGAAGGTTGCAAATAAAGTCTTAAAAATATCATATTGGCCTGTACTTTGTTCAGAGAATGAAAGATAACACATTTTGTTCTGAAAGTTTCCACAGCCTATGAACTCTCATTTCCTTATTTAATTTTAAAAATCAAATTTTTGATTTAGGCAGAAATATTAGCACCCTCATTGTACAAAGAAGAAATTAATGTTTCATGGGAAACAGTAAATTGCATAGGATCACATAAGCTCAAAAGAATTAAGACTTTTAATATTCAATTTTACAGCATATGACAGGATTGGTAGACCAGTGTGTTAGGTATTTCCAGAGTTTTGCATTTTCTAGATGAAGCATTTAATCACTCATTCTGTGTTGTATTGGGGAGTTTCCTGTCACATGGCTTTAATTCTAATAGCTCTTGTTCTTCCTGATTTGGTTGCCACCATGCCTATATTGTGGAAGCAGGAATAGGTTTGGGGAGTTCTCAAATAGTGATTTATTTGGGAAATATTGTGACTAGCAGTGGAATCAGGGACATCTAAGAGACCCTTTAGGAAGAGAAGTAGCTGAGACCATCCAGCAGCCCATGGAATAATGGCAGGACTTGTTACCACAGACCAGAGAGTCGAAAGCAAGAGGCACCATAGGTTTAAGTAGGGCCAATAGCCCATATGGCTGGACTGCAAGCAAGACTGACGGAAAGTTGGATGGGTAAAAAGTGAAGAAAGTCTACACACAGGCACTGCATGTCCTCACACGTCCCCAGGGCTTTGAGCTGTCCTGCAGAGGAAGGTCATAAAATGAAGGTTGTTCAGCAATGTCAAGTGAAAGAGCAATGAAGACTGCATCCTTGCTGGCTGTACTTAGCATGAGTTTGGCCCTGTGGTCCACCTGGGAGCCCTATAAACCAGGCACAGCACTTTTAGAAGGGTGGTGGGCACCATGGGAATATAAGTACGAGTGGATTAGACAGGAATTGAGATCACCACCCATGGGGAAAGCCCTAACAGACCCAAGGTGAGGCAGGTGAGTATGAGAGCAGGCAGCATAGTGAAGAGTAGAGCATGTTGCCAATCTGAATTTTCTTGCCATAGCTAGAGGCACAGAGGCCTACCTGGTAGAGAAGCATAGAAACAGCATATGCAATTTCTTGGACTGTGATGGAAGAGATGATGATTGTGGCCAAAATGAAATTGGCTGGGCCCAGGTGAGTGGTGGACAAAAGAACTAGTAGCATAAGATGGGGTCAGTGCAGGCTTCAGTCACTTTGAATTACATGGAGAATTAGTTGATCTCTCAGAAGTGTGCTGACTCTGGAGTTGAAAAAAGAATAAAGAGAGAGAAAAGATGCATTTTCTTCTTAATAGGAAAGCAATATATGATCATTGTAATAAAAAAACTTCATACAATGTGAAAATATAACAGAAATAAAAACATAATAAATATCTCCAATAAAGTTGTTACCTTAAAAGAGTTAAAAAAACATTGTTAGCATTTTGGTGTTTTTGTTTCAGATTTTAAATATGCATCTGTCTGCATGCTTCTGAATGGGCACAAGATGGATATGTGTGTCTGCTTTATATTTGTAATCCTTTTGGAGGTAAAATAGAAGGATAATAAACAGATGAATCAGACCCATTTAAAATGTTTCTAGGGATGTAATCTTTATCCTAGGTTTTAGAAGGACAAAGATTCATGAATTTGGTCCTGACTGACCGAATTGTGTCATGAATCTAAATATACCCACCACAACTACCATAACTGCCACTCCCTTCCTGGTGTTTGGTAGAAATCTCCTAACCTCTAGGCCAGACTTCTGGTGATTTAGTTCATGAATACTCACTGAGATTCCCTGGAGGGGTCTAGAATAAGAACTAGGATGAAGAAAAAAAGTGCTGATCCTTTTAGGAGATGTGATTGCAAAGTTAGGTTGCAAAGTTGAAACCTCCTGCTTTTGGCCCCACTGTGTCAGCCTCTTGGGCCTTTATCAGGTCCTAGGGAAGTCTGAGTAATAAGTTGAGGTTATTTTTCTAGATTTTATCTAGAAATGTTTCATAAACATGTCTTGTGGACTTCATTTTGACTACCAATGCTCTGTCCCAGACACTGCCACAGCCTGCACATACTCTCTTTTTTTGATGGCAGCAAAGATTTTTTTAAAGTTAGGAAAAGAAACAGGCTCTGGAGAGCAAGTTTGTGCCAAGTAAAAGTAGGAAGAGAAGTACACCCTACAGGTTGAGGGTGGGCCACCATGCAAGACAGCGAAGACAGTGGCCCACACTTTTTATCTGGAACATCTTTTGCTTCGGTCCCAAATCCCAAGTAGTTTACAGAAGTTTTGGCAAACGTAACTCTGTGATGGTCTTAATCTGCTCCTTAGAATCCATTAAACATCTTTTATTGTCTCCTAAATAGAGCCCAAACTATTAGAATAACAGCGTATCCTAAAGTAGATTTCCCTTCCCTTTTATATCCGTTTTCGTTCTATTTTCCCAGTATATATCCAGTTTTCAAAAAATGTTATTCTGATATTTTACAAGACTTATTGTCTCTCGGTGATTTCCTGTACATTTTTTTTGTTTAGTATTGGGGATTAAATTCAGTGGTACTCTTCCACTGAGCTACATGCCTAGTGCTCCCCCCCCGCTCTTTTTTGGTACCAGGGATTGAATTCGGGACCTTGCGCTTGTGAGGCAGGCGGAGGAACCACTGAGCTAAATCCCCAGCCCTAGCCCTTTTTAATTTTTATTTTGAGATAGTTTTGCTAAACCTGTGATCCTTCTGCCCCAACCTCCCCTGTAGCTGGGATTAAAGGTGTGTGAACCATTCTTGGCTTGATGTCATGTAGGTGTAAGCTTTGGTTTGACTGTTTCCTTTGAATTGCCTGTGCTATTTTAATTGTACTAATCACTCATAAATTGAAGCTCTTTGTGAATCGTTAAGCCAAAAAAGTATACATTGTTTGGTGTTTCCAGAGTTTTCATACCACTTTACAACTGGACTATTTCTAGTTCAGAAAAGTTTGAGTGATAACTGAGCCATTGAGCTGTACCTATTCAAGTTAACAAACCATTTTATACCACTCCTTACATTAATTTGCAATAAGCTTGCTGTGTATGAGGAGGGCCATCCCCTTCTGCTGTGTCTGGGTTTCTGGACACAGGTAGACCTGAATTTGGGAAAGGATCACAATTGTACCATTGATTTAAGGTTTTAGTATTGTTGTTCATGGTTTATCATTTAGACACAAAACCCTCCAAGTTCTTGCCTGGAATCTTAGAGCTTTTTACTTTAGACTTGATTCAAAGGAACTGAAGCTGATGCAGAATTAAACTGTGACCCTGCCTTTCATACTCCTAAGGGAGCCAACGGTAATGTAGGGCTTTTAACTCCAAGTGAAAGAAAGTGAAGGATGAGGGTAAGGAAAATCTGGAGATCTGAAATGAGGACATAAAAGACAATTCCTGACAGAGGTTACAGGAAGACTCTATGCTGAGGCTAGTGGCACCATAGCACCTGCCTAATACATTTATTTATTCAATAAACACTTCTGGAAGAAAAGCTATAAGGAAAGGAAATGTATCAGAAAGAGTAGCACTAAGGAAAAGAATGAAACAGAGAACTTGACCATATGGAACTTCTACTTATTATATTTCTCCTTACAATAAGTGCTAGCTTGCTCCCTGACTCCAAAACATTTTTTTATTTATTTCTGCCATTGAAGTTATAGGTCAGAGTGGTAGCAGAGATAAAAAGATTTAACTGATTAGTCTTCCCAGTTCCAGTCTTCTTCATATGTTCAACACAATCCTAGTGTGCAATTCATACTACTAATTTATTTTATAAGAAAAATATTTAGTAAGTGATTTTTATGTACTAAGTACAAGCAAAACTATTTAGCACAATATGCGGAATCCTGTACAAATTGGTCATCTACCTTTCTGGCTTCATCTCCTCCCCTTTCTTCCTTAACCCATGCCGTATCCATGTATAAAAAGATAGCATAAGTGGTAGAGGGACAAAGATATGCAAGAAAGCCAACTTCCTCAAACATATTCACTTCTTCAAAATGTGGGGACTTTTTTTCAGATTGTGATTTTTTTTCTGTTACTTACTCAATTTCTACCCCACCTAGAAAAATAGTATGCATTTTTCAAGTTAAAATAAAAATTATTATATCTGGTATGGAAGTTTCTCAATCTTCCAAGGCAACTTCTGTCAACTACTGATTTGCTTTCCCTAATCATCTCTTGTATATTGCTTTATTAATGGCCTTCATTAGACTATAGTCTGGTTGTGCCTTTACATGCCTTTTACCTGGCATATAACTATGAATTTCTAGAGATAAAGGATCACATTTTAGGTAATTATAAGTCTTCGACTTTCATCACTGCTTCTTTACAAAGTAAATGTTGAGCCTAACACTGCAACATAAATAAACCTGACAGTCTTTCTCCTATCTTAGCATGGATAGGGATTTTCAGAGTGTGCTGAACCTAACTGGTTCCCATAAAGCACCAGCAGTCTCTTTTATTTTATTGAGATACTATTATGTTCTAAATGTCATCAGCCTTGGCCTTTCTTCCTCAGAACCCTGAGCATGGCCTCCCTGATGGGCCTGGACTTGACACTGTAGATGATGGGGTTCAGCACAGGAGGCACCACCAGGTACACATAGGCAACAAGAGCATGTACAAGGTGGGACAGGTGCCTCCCAAAGCGGTGGATCATGGACACACCTATGACAGGGATGTAGAACACCAGCACAGCTAAGATATGGGAAACACAGGTATTGAGGGCTCGGACCCGCTCCTTGGGAGATGCCAGCCCCATCACTGTATGAAGGATAAGGGTATAGGACAGGACAATAAGCAAGGAGTCTAGACCCACAGTGGACAGAACCACATATAGCCCATACAGGATGTTGACAGTAATGTCAGCACAAGCCCGTTTCATGACATCTGCATGGAAACAGAATGAATGTGACAGGATGATCTTGCCAGGGCAATAGTTCAGCCGCTTCAGCAAGAAGGGTACTGGGAAGAGGGACAGAGTGGCTCGAGTCACAGTGGCCATCCCAATCTTGATGATGACATTATTTGTGAGAACAGCTGCATAGCACAGGGGGTTGGAGACGGCCACAAAGCGGTCAAATGACATGGCCAGGAGCACAGAGGACTCCAGCACAGAGAAGGAGTGCAAGAAGAACATCTGGACCAGGCAGGCATTGAAGCCAATGAAGCGGTAGTCAAACCAGAGCACAGACAGAGTGGTGGGCAGTGTGGACAGGGTGAGGCCCACATCGCTGAGGGCCAGCATGGACAGGAAGTAGTACATGGGCTGGTGCAGGGAAGGGGTCTTCCTCACAGCCAGGACAATGAGGCAGTTTCCAGTGAGCGCCACAGTGTACATGGAGGAGAAGGGGATGGATATCCAGCTGTGACCAGCCTCCAGCCCTGGGATGCCGATCAGGAGGAAATCAGGTGGCTGGAAGAAGGAGATGTTTGTGTGGGACTGTGGCGGGACCCTCCTGGGGAAGCAGCTGAGGGCTCTAGAGAATGTGATCTCTTCAATCTCTATAGAGACTGAAAGGATCTAGGATGTCAGAAAAGAACAAGTTAGTATTAAATTAGAAGCTTAAAATCAAGTTTCATAATTGATTCTATCATTTATTGATATGTATGAAAGCATAATAATGAAGAGAATTAAACTTCCACCTAGTCTGTTATGTTCTATTTCACTAGTGTGCTAGTGCAATTGCCTAAGTTTTCTTATATTATAATAAAAATAATCATAACTCCCTTTTGAATATCAGCCCCTTTCAAACACAGGCTTGTGGCCTTAGGGTTGTTTCGGTATTGCCCGCATAATCTTATCTATCAAAAAGTTATCATTTTTGGGGGGCCCGGGATTTAGCTCAGTGGTTCCAGCACCTGCCTCACAAGCACAAGGATCCGAGTTCGATCCCCAGTACCAAAAAAAAAAGGTTATCATTTTTAAGGTTGACATCTAGTGTAAACTGGTGGAATGAAATTTTACATGTTAGTAACTTGCAATTGGAGTTCAGAGAATCTAGCCTGTGTCTACTTTTTGCCCCAATTGAAGATGTGTTATTTCCATGTGCATAGAGGAAAGTGGAAAGTGCCTGTTTGGAAAGAGATAAAAATAATTGAATTAGATAAGCTGAGAAAGGCAAGTGTGTGAGAGAGCAAGTAATTGCTCTTTTCCCCTTTCTGAAGTCAATTATTCTTGAGGTCGTCTGTTTATCTTGCCCTTAATTTTCCTATGATACAATTTTGATGCATAATAAATTCCATAATTTATGCTTAAGCATTTTATGCTGCATTTCTCAATGTTTAGAATTAA